TGCCAAGCGCGCAAGGCGGCCATCGCCAAGACCATCCGAGAGGTCTGTAAGGTGGTCTCGGACGTGCTGAAGGAGGTGGAGGTGCAGGAGCCTCGCTTCATCAGCTCCCTGAGCGAGATCGATGCCCGCTACGAGGGGCTGGAGGTCATCTCGCCCACAGAATTCGAGGTGGTGCTCTACCTAAACCAAATGGGCGTCTTCAACTTCGTGGACGACGGCTCCCTGCCCGGCTGTGCGGTGCTCAAACTGAGCGATGGTCGGAAGCGGAGCATGTCTCTCTGGGTAGAGTTCATCACAGCGTCCGGCTACCTCTCCGCGCGCAAGATCCGGTCACGTTTCCAGACGCTGGTCGCTCAGGCGGTGGACAAGTGCAGCTACCGGGATGTGGTCAAAATGATCGCCGATACCAGCGAGGTCAAGTTGCGCATCAGGGAGCGCTACGTGGTGCAAATCACCCCGGCGTTCAAGTGCACGGGTATCTGGCCTCGCAGTGCGGCACAGTGGCCTATGCCTCACATCCCCTGGCCCGGCCCCAATCGGGTGGCGGAGGTCAAGGCCGAAGGGTTCAATTTGCTCTCCAAGGAGTGCTACTCGCTGACCGGCAAGCAGAGCTCCGCGGAGAGCGATGCCTGGGTGCTACAGTTCGGGGAGGCTGAGAACCGCCTGCTGATGGGCGGCTGCCGAAACAAGTGTCTGTCGGTGCTGAAGACGCTGCGGGACCGCCACCTGGAGCTGCCAGGCCAGCCGCTCAATAACTACCACATGAAGACGCTGCTGCTGTACGAGTGCGAGAAACACCCGCGGGAAACGGACTGGGACGAGGCGTGCCTGGGCGACAGGCTCAATGGCATCCTGCTGCAGCTCATCTCCTGCCTGCAGTGTCGCCGCTGCCCCCACTACTTTCTGCCCAACCTCGACCTTTTCCAGGGCAAGCCCCATTCGGCCCTGGAGAGTGCTGCCAAGCAGACCTGGAGGTTGGCCAGGGAAATTCTCACCAATCCCAAAAGCCTGGACAAACTATAGGGTGCTGGGGACTGCTTGAAAAGCGACACAAATGGGAATGCTCTCAGCCACCCAATACACACACACGACCAACGGCGGAAACTCCGGACACAAACTTTTACTGTCAGCCACCTGAAAGAAACAGCCACCAAGCAGCAGACCTTCCTGAGCTCACAAGCCAACAAAAGAGAGCAACCCAACCACCAAACCAAAACACACGAAATCACATTCTTGCACAAAAGTGATCGTTTTCTTCCAAACAATGTGAACTTAAAAGGTCACACAAAAGAAGCAATCGGGCTTTGCCACCACAAAATGAAACCTAAGGTACATTTTCAAATCAATGTATAGTAGTTTTTCTCCCTCTCTCTTCTCTCCTTTTCTCCTCTTGCTCCCTCTCTCCCACCCTCCTTTCTCTCTGCCTCATCTCATGTTGTTTTGGGTTGCCTGAATGTTGTCACCAAGTGAAAAAAAAAAGTATTTAATTATATGTAAAATTTTTCTTTAAAAAAAGTTTTTGCTGATGTTAAATGTATCTCAGTGCCAATGTCAGATTGTGCTCGTCCCTCTTGCACCTCTACCCTTGCCCTAAGCAGTCTTGTTGAAAACAGTAATAAAAATATTACTTTACATTGTAATTGACTGTTTGTGGATTGTTCTTAAATGAAGGCAGGTGAGATCACATCTACAATTTACAATGTAAAGATGTGAATTTGAGGAGCTAAATACAAGAAGCTGCCATTTGAACTCTAATTTGCAAATACAGCACATTTTGTACACTTAACCAAATTCCCACCAAAATCCTTAGAAAAGAAAAAAATTAATTTTACCCAATTATATATGTCTGTTCTATAGATTTTAAGATTAAAAGTAATATTTTCTTTCACATCTAAAAAAACAAATTTAAGACAGAAAAAATAGTTCACATTAAAATTTAAGAGATTTGCTTTTTATGCCATAATTTCAAAATATCCACTCGAACTCTGAAATGCAAAGGAAATATTTATGGATCTTTTCTGAATAGTTAACACAATCAGTTGACACTTTTCCTTAAATCATTTGTTCCCTTCAGGTTTTAAATAATAAAACTTAACAGTTAAATCAACCACACTGAAAAAGAATAAAATGGTTATAGCAACATTCCTTTTCCTAGCAGATGGTTGATGTGAACAATCCAGATTTATGAATTACCTCAATTTTTTAAATGGCTTAGTTACAAATACCAAAACTATGGTCATTTAAAAAATAACTCCCAAAATTTCTCAGAATTATTCCAAAGCTTCTTATAGGCAATTTAAACAAAAAAAAAAAAACATGTTTTGATATAATTTTAATGACCAAAGGAATATTTTCAAGAATTTACACATAGGAAAAGTACTTTACTACTCTTTCTGCCTTCCTAAGGTAACAATCCAATGCACTCATTACATTTAAACTTTAGGAAAGATTTCTTTTTAATATAAAGAAAATAACTGATTATAAAATAAAATAATTGGTAAAACTGAAAGTGTCCAAAGGAACTGGTTTGTCTTCTTTATATTGGAGGCAACTCTGTACTCCATTAGATATGCTAATGATGAGGCACAGGTACAGAATATATGTCAGATGTCACCCTTTAATATATAAAATGTATTCTTTACATGAGCCCAGTGTTTAATTTGTTCAGAAAACCAATGAGAGAGATACAGAAAATCGCTCTAAAAGAGCAATGTTAGAGATGAGAGGAAGAGTGGGCAGGGATGAGCAGCAGGGCCTCAGAGATGGAGGAAAAACAAGGAAGGTGCTCAAGGGCTCTGCCTCCCGGATCCCTTGGTTCACTGGTCGAAACAGGTCTAAGTCACAAGGCTCCCTGGTGAAAACTCCCTCGTGAAAATAGTGCTGGGTTAGAAGTATAAACTGTGATCTTATCAGTTCTGAAATCATCTCCACTCCTTCAACCTATGTTATGTGTTTTTCTTGTCTCTCTTCCTGTATGTGTAGAACAAACTCGGGGGGGGAAAAGTGGCTCAGGCAAATACATTGCCTTTTTAATAATAAAAATGAATTTATTCTCTGGGGAAAACATTCTGATTTTTAAGAACATTTTCAAGCAAGTAATAGGTGTTTCCATTTACAAAGAAATAATTAAAGGTCAGTGTATAGTTTAAAAGATAAAAATGGTATCTTAAAATGACCATGTTTTCACACTCTCAAAAGTATTTACAGCATTAGACATATTTCCCTCCAGTTATCCCAGGAAAAGTTTTTAACTCTTGACAAGAAGAAACAAAAATTACCCAAATGCAGTATCTTTTTTCCCTCATTTAATTTACTGAAACTAAAAAAGTAAAATACTGCAGCAACACAAGTGTCCTCATGACAAAATACGTTAAAGTATTCATGTCTATTCAAAATCAAATATAAATATATATATATATATTTATATATAAATTAGCCTAAGTTTTGATTTTTGTAATATTAGGCAGGTTGGAGTGGTACAAAACAGTTTCTGTAATTAAAGCAAAAGATATTGCCCATGCAACAAGGGAAAAAATTACTTTAATGATGCTGCACAAAATAAGATCAGAGAGAAATATGTTATAACTTCCCCCAAAGGAGTAAATAACTCCTTAACGTGCCTAATTACAAAGACTGGCAAAGATTCTAATATTGAGTACAATACTTAGATACCTTTAAATCACAATTTAGGTTTTAAGCCATGTATGCCCAAAAGCATAGAATATTCTGAGTTAAATTTCAGCTTCTTAAACTCACAAATTACCGTAAGTTTGAGAATGTAAGTAATTTTGGCTACTTTTCTTTCCTAAATAAACTAAAGTACAATTTTAAAACATTTTCAGCTCTGCCACAAAATAAAATTTTTTTCTAGGTGATGCAAAATCTGTATTCCAGTTTTCTCTACAATGGATTAGCTGAATTATCAAGGTCAAAATAACCTGTTTCATTGTAACCTGCCTTTCATATGGTCTACCAAATCCTATCTTAATAAAGGCAGCAATTTTGAGACATTGTGCTGAAACGCACATAATGTAAGATGGCACTGTAAAGTTTTCAATAAAACTATAACATTTTTCATTAAGAACTATTTTGAAATACTTCTAAATCACTAAAATTTAATAATTCACATGATTACAAAACCAAAGAACCTCCCATCAATGAATGCAGAATGTATATATGTGTGTGTATATGTATGTATATATGTATGTAGTATGTACACACCCCCCCACACACACAAGCTATCAGTCTGTAAAATAAAGTGTTCCAATTTTTTAAACTTCTCTTCCTACAAGAGGCTTATTTTGCTCATTTAAAAGAGACTGCTTCAAATTGAGCCATTCACTTTTATAAAATAAACCCAATTTTGGTTTTATGGCTGTGCTACAAATGTTTCTTAGTAAAATAAAGTTGCCATGGTCTGAAAAGTAATCAGAAATACATTTTAAAGGGGAAATTACATTTTCAGTTAAGAATAGGAAATTATGCAGTGCCTTGTAAAATCAACTACAGGTAATGGGAACCAGAGGGATCTCACACACACGAGGGAGAGGCATGCACGACAGAGTAGCAAGCCACGAGGACAAAGCAAGGAGAGAGAGACACTGGTATTATAGCCAGAAAATATAAAAGCTAAACAAAATAACTCCTCTCTCAACCTCACTGGATTTTGTAGCTTAATTTACCCTGGGCCCTTTGATGTAAAATATATTTATAGAAGATACCCCCTGAGGTTCACCCCCACCCTTGAATGAGCTAATGATAAAAGCAATTAAGTGGGAATTGTTTTGAATCTAAATGAACTTCAATAATCTAACTAGCTGGTAAGGGAACCATAAGCTAAAGAAGAGAGTTGCCTTGCACACAGGCAGAGGGACATCAGCAAGAAATCACACTAAGTCTGTCAAATTTTACCAATGCCAATCCTCCTTAACAGCAGTGCACCATCCCAGCCAAGAAAAATAAAATTCCGTTAAAATGAAACCCGCCCCTCATTTTCTCACCTTGGGGTCGATGTTCTTGAAGTTGGGGTCCTCTTCATCCACCTCAAAATAGAGTTCGGAGGAGGTGACAGAGAGAATGCCCTTCACTACCACAGAGGGGGCCACAAGCTGAGCTGGTGTACTTAGGCTAACAGGACCTGCCAAAGTGAAAAGGCAAGCCGCACAAGTTGGAATGACATTTTTCAAAAATTCAAATAAGGTCACACAGAAATTTTATCTAATTTTAAAATTCTCACCTCTAGCACCAAATTGCCTGCCAACTCCTACACTTACAAATCTTGCCCCCCCCCCAAAAAAAAACTTCCTCTGAAATTCCAAAGTTAGAATTCTTATACTAAGAGGTTTATAACAGGCGATTAATTTTAACAGTAAACTGGGATGCAATTATTTTACAGGGAGTCTGCAAAGGTTTGGTCTAATCTCCTGGTAAAAGGGCAGCTCTGCCTAAATAAGCCCATCCACATTCCATTTAGAAAACAAGCCTCAGGCTATCAAACAACATGGAACAACAACCAGGAGCAAGGAGGACTCAATAGGCTCCCAAGGCCAGAGGTTAGCTTAGAGTTTGGCTGAGGCGTGATTACAAAAAGATCACTAGCTTATTAGCAAAGTGAGAAACACTGCACCATATTCTTTGGTAAAGATTTTGTGCCAGGTTGACATAAAACCTCTTCCATAACAACTTTCCCCGTGAAAGATTGGTAAAAATACTTATTTCCTAAGCCTGCCTTTCCACTGTTAAATATTGTTCAGTGCTTCCAAATCTAATATTAGTGTAGTTCAGGGACTCTGGGAGTAAACAGCTGGAGGGTGGGTTTCCAAGTGAATGAATTTTTATTGGAATAATCAAATCTCCACAGGGCTTATCAAAGAGACAAATCAGCCTGCTACTGAAAACAATAGATTCAATACAGATAGAAGAATACAAAGTGTATTAGAGCTAACCCTAAAATAAGGACTAAAAATAATGACCATATTATACATACATGTATGTTTATGTGGAGATTGATGCAATAAGAATTTGATATTCCATGTCAGCTTCTCGCTGCACAAATCTCTAGGTGAAGAAAACAGCCTGAGAAGATCGGCACTTAGAGGTCTGAATTAATATAGTGCCTACAAACACGGCACACCTATTCAGGTAATCGATGGGTGAATAAGTGTTTCAAAATTCAGATGAATTGACATTTCCATCGATTGTTAGAAGGGTGTTGGTCCTTAATCTCACATCAATCTTAATGTGTGCCAGTAGGACAATAGAAGGGATGCTCTGTGGAGATCAGAGCAGGTTTTGCCCTCTATTCCCAATGTACAAATACATTGTGTCTGCAGATGGGCAGCAGATAGCTGCAGAACAGCCATGATTTCCCAAAGCTCATCCCTATAAATGGATGAAATAAGCAGCTATGTGTTCTTTTGCTGTCTCCTTTGCCCTCTGTACATTAGCATGTAATCCTGAGAAGAAATAACATTTTTTCAATCACTCTCAGACATTCAATTACAGGGTAAGCAGACAGCTGCAGGAGCTAGGGCAGCCTAGGTCCTAAAGAAGACCCCTGACAATTTCCACTTCATTTCTAACCCACACCACTTTATTAGTGTGGATTACTTCTTAATCCTATTGCCATTGTCAGGATTATATAATTAAACTCCCCTTTCACCTCTATTACTATATGAATGCATTACTAGTAGCAAGGATGCAAGCAAAATAAAGGAGGAAGAAATAGGTAAATGGATATGAAGGGAAGGAAAAGACTAGAGAACAGCACTGTCCACCTTATTCTCTTCCTGTCTGAAACCCCATAACAGTATGCTCCAACTAATGCTGTTTTACTTTACACAGAGGTTTATGGTTCCTCAAAGAAGATGCCATCATCCATTTTTGCTTTCAATTAGCATTCACTGTGTAGTAGTACAGGTTGCAGATAAATGTCATTAAATATAAGATTTCTAATGTCTTCTCTTAAATGAAAATTATCAAAATAGTTGATATATTTTTCCCTAAAGAAATCACAGAAATCTTTCAGACTTTCCTCTTTGCGGAAGAGAGCCACAGACGTTTAAAAAAAAAAGGCCATTTAATGAATGACTAAAATTTCAGGCTAAACAAGAGAATTTTTCCCATAAGGGAAGTAAAACTGAAAATCTGCAGAGTGCAAATCAAAATTTCTACATCAGGTAAAATATGTGAATCCTATGTAACGCCATAGCATTCTTGAAATGGATTTTTTGAGAGAGTTAAATGTATATGCAACATGTTCACTAAGACCTGTATATCAAAGCAAATAGCTCACCTGCCTCCAAGCTTTATTTACAAAACAGTTGGCAGAATTTCACTTACAACTCTTATAATATAGAGATTAGGTAACTCCTCTCATGGGATGAGTGAAGCAATTTTGTTGCTGCTGCTTTTAAACTTTTTTTTCTTTTTCAGTGAAAATTATTTTAAAAATGAGCATAATGAATAGAATAGGAAAACAAAAGGGAAAGGTTGAAGATTAGGAGGACAATGTTTGAAGGAACACAAAATCTTTATAACTAAAGTAATTGTGGGTGTGAACTTGGTAGTGATCTCAGCTGAAAAAGTAAGTAATTAGATGCTTATTGGCCCAGAGCTAGCTGAAATAGCTGCATAGCCACTGGATTTACCGGCAAGATTCTCTAAATCTTTTTCGTCCGCGGATGACAGAGTATCGTCGTCACCTTCCAGGAGAACCTCGTTTTCTGAGTTCTGATTTCCTAGAGCCTGACTCTTGATGGACTGTTTTCCTTTAGCAAGGATATCTTCATCTGCAGCTGAAATGAAAAGGAAACAAAGCTGTCCATCAGCCCTGGGAAGAGCACTGTGGCAGAGGGGCAGGGAGCTGAGGTAAGGCTAGGTGGCCAAAGATGGCCCATCATTTTTACACGTTCACCCACAGTGGGAAGGGTGATTGGGATGGCACACATGTTCATTTTGACGAACATGATTCCCCAAACCTAGTTTAACGTTGCCCTGAACAAGCACCCTAATCCCATCAAATGTGACCCTTGCACCACTCACAGAACCATTTATTTACTTATAGTTAGGGCTGGAGAGGGTTCGAAAGCAGCACATTTTTGGAAATTTGGCGGCAGAAAAAATTCCAACCTACTTTTACAAACAATACCCACCTAACACTGAAAAAATAAGAAAGACTGATTCATTCCTGGAATAATATTACAGTGACAAGCATTTTGAAATGGTTGGGAAGTGGCTGTGGAGGAGAGTCCAGAGGAAGAAGGGCCAGGGCCAGGAGAGTCACAGCCAATGAGGATTCAGACCACATCCTGAAGCCACGTCTGACACTCATAAAGCTCTAGCAGCTCTTGGAAGCTGCCTTCTCTTCCTCTTAACTCCATTCTCCCTCCTTGCCCTTGCCCACATTTCACCCCACCCACACCCCCACTTCAGCCCTTAGACAAATACCAAGAGCCAGGCAGTGTGGAAACTAAGTGGAGGCTCAAACACTACCTCCTCCATGTGTTTAAACTAAAGGGCTAAGACACCCCGGGGGCAACCATAACAGAAAGCCTGGGATGAGAGGCATCTGGGCGGAGAGCCTCCCACTGCCTGAGCTGCAGCAGCCCGTGGAGAGAGCAGCACAGACTGGAGGCACTGTTAAGGCTGCAGGACAGGAGCAGACAGAGGGAAGGGGACAGCAAATCCAAACAGTAAGGGGAGAGCTCTGCGGAGCACCCGGGGCCAACAATGGAACCACAGACGGGAGCAGAGGTGCAGCCAAAAGGGGGAAGCACTGAAAACTCCTGATTCTGACTTCAAAAACCCACATCCCTCCAGAGTGACTGCACTGCTCTGGGCAGCTTTCTCCTTAAGAAACTCGTAAAAGCAGATACCAACTGCTGGACTGTGAATTTTGAAAGCTCACTGTGTCACATAAGGGAAAGTTTAGCAGCGTCCTTCCTCCCAGTCCCGGTTTCCAGCTAGGGAAATCCCAGAGGCAAAGCACCTGATCCGCCGGGCAGCAGCTATTGATATGGAAATCAGACTGCCCGGCTTTCTGCTCTCCGCGGCACTTTCCGCCTGGGCATCGCGTCCAAAGCCCATAAAGGATAAAGCGCTCGGTTTGCAGTAACGTGACTAATATTTCTCTATATAATTTATGCTAAATAGTTAAATTATGTGTCTGTTACCTGATTATCCTGAGAAATCAAAGGTTCGTTGAATTTAATAGGCATCGTATGGATAATGTTAAAAGGTAAAAGTTTATTTTTATTATATTTACTGTGAGTTCAACGTTTATATCATTTACATACAATACTTATGGCACTACTTAAAAAAACATAGGTACTTTCTATTAAATAACAAAGTCATGGAAAGAAGCTTTCTATATTTAACTTTGAATAACCGCTATGTGGTAAGTAAAACCTTATTTTCCTATGCTGCACACATATGAAAGTCTCAATAAATATTTGAAAAAAAATTTTAAGTGTCTAATTTAAATGGCTTTATGTTTTTACAAGCTACAAAGAAATATACCCAAACCCAATAATTTTTAAGAAAATAACAGTATAAATTTTTATGTCATTGTTTATATTCAAGTATTTATGTTTCCTTACTTTGAAATCATAAACACTGCCCTTAGCCCAAACAAGGACTTCTCCGGTTTACTAAAAATAAATTGGTCGCTGAGAAATAGAAGAGAAATCATCATCGTCTACATTTCCTTATAAAGTACATTGTACTTAATTAACAACTGCCAGTCAGATTTTAGTACAAAATCAGCATGTTACATTCTCATTTTCCAGACTTAAATTCGTTCGTCAAAGCAGAAATCATAACAATGCTAATATTAAAGAACACTAATCATGTGCCAGGGAGTGTTCAAAGCACTTTACATATTTAACTCATTTAATTCTCATAAACCCCCCCCCTTCTAATTTCTCCTTTTCAGATGAATAAAAAGGCTCAGAGAAGGTTATATAACTTGCCCAAGGCAACACAGCTACTGAGTCAAGTCAGGAGTCTGGGGCACCAGAATCTGGGCTCTCCCCACTATGCAAAGATGGATGGACTCGTAATCTACTGGTTAGTTTACTGTTCTTAAGTTTCACATGGCACATGTTAAAGGGTTAAGTCAGAATTACCATAAAAAAGCAAAGAATAAAAAGAATTCATTTCCAAACCTGCATATTATGAACATATGCCAAATATATAAAAAACAACTAAATTCAACACCTCGATCATTACTTTCTCTGATAATTGCCATACATGTTGTGAAGTACACCAAGTTGATTTGGGGAAAAAAAAGGGGGGGGCCTTTAATCTGCAAACATTTACAAAAAAAATTATAGTAGCCAGTGGGGATATAAAATAGCTCAGTAAATAAATTCCCATTCATTTAAATGACCATTAAATATAATTTTTTATTCCTTGCAACTGAAATTTAAAGTGTTTTTAAATATGTTTTCATCATGCTGACACATTAAAACACAGTAACTTCTGAATTAAATAAAATTTTATGAAAAAATTTTAAAGTATTATAGGCCTACTATACACATACAAACACCCACTTTTTATTTATTTACTTATTTTTACAAGCTCAGATTCTGGAATTGTTCAACCTCAACTGAAAAACCTCTTGTCATGGAAAATATGCAGCTTACTGATATTTAGAATGGTTTTCCTGTAATTAACTCCCCCTGGAGGATTTTAAGTTAGCAGCAGTAAAATCACCAACAGTGCTCTAACACACACCACATGCGCTGGCGCTCAATCCTCAGTGGTCTAATAGCCCTCTGCTAAAGAACTTTGTTTTGTTTTCAAAATCAGAACAAAACTGTCCCAAGCATTAAATAAAAGATAATTATCATGTTTATGTGCTGGGAAAAGTATAAGGCAAACAAAAGTTTGCCTCATACTCAATCAACCATTGAAACAAGTATCAAGCATTTTGATATCTTCTGTGAGTATATTGTATGCTTGTATAAAAGTTCAATTGGATGAAGTCAGAACATACTTTTGGTTCAGTTTTAAAGCTTGATTCAGATCTTTTCTGGATAATAAAATTACTACCAACCATGGTAACTGCTTAAATTTTCATATCACCATTAACAGATTGCCTTCGTCTAATCTCACATTTTACTCTAGTTAATATTTATTCTAACTTAGTAACTAGAGGACAATTGTTACATAAATTGGATAAATTTGTCAAAAATGCTTTCTTTGAATCATGACTGTTGATTCACTAAAGCTAAGAGCTATAAGCAGACTCAGAGAATAGATGGTTCTCCAAAAAGTGAAGTTCAAGTTCTTTATAGCTAGCACTGGACATGAGCTGATTCATCTATATTCAAAACAGGCTAGGTAAACAAAATTCAAATGTAAGAATATAGAAAACTCTTGTACCTATGATATACAAATCTCCTTTTAAAAGTCTACTGCAGCAGTGAAATGGTAATCAGTGGTCCATATTACAGTAAAGTTGTTAAAGAATTAAGACACTTCGTTTTTTTTTTTTTTTAATTACTACTGAAATAACAAAGTGACCTCAAATGTATATAAAATAAATATGGGCATCCACTTAGTGTGTTGTGAAGCACATACCGCAACTGTTCATTCTTAACAAGAAACAGAAAGAATGTCTTATATACAATTATTATCCTAAAATAATTCCATTTTTTATAGTTTGTGCAGTTTCCAAAGGTTTCCAAGTCAAGAAGATTCATTTGAAGAAAAATTAGTGAAACTACAAAGGATGATTAGGAGAACGAACCAAGTTCATCTCCCAATGATCACGGGTCCCTTATAAGTGTTAGATAGAAAACCTAGTGTATGTGGATCCTAAGAAGAAGGAAATATCATCTGGCATTATTGAAGTTATGAGCGAATGGCATCATTTAGGATCTTTACATAGTCTGTCATCACTACAAAACCAGATGAGGTACTTGTATCATTCCATATGATTACAAGATACTTTTTAAACTATGTTAAATCCTCCTCATATATTTCTATGAGCATGCACAGTCTCTACAAAAAAAAAAAAAGTCTTGAATTCGATAGGATTCTACTGCTAAGCTCTTTTAGTGTTTGAATTAAAACCAATTTTCTACCATTTAAAACATGTTTCACGTGGCTTCAATTTAAATATAAAATTCCCATTACATTTAACAATGGATTTTAGAAGACAGCATAAAACAACGGTAAAAAAAATGTGACTAATCATGGGTTACCTGCACCAAGATATTATGTTATCATCTACCAAGAATTATGTTGGTCCTTTGTTTCCTCAGTTTCCTCTTTTGTAAACAATAGCATTAGACTAGACTTGAGCCTTATGTTCTTTCCAAATCTAAATGCTGTGATAATGAATAGCTGACAGACTGGGTCCCGTGCATTAGAAGACTGTTAAGAATACTTACGAATGATTTCTAATAATTTTTAAAACTATGAAAGAAAATGCCCAGAAGAATCAAATATCCACCTCTGCTTGCTGCCACTAATTTCCATAAAGAATATTTAATCATAAGAGGAAGTATTAGTTTTAATTTTAAAATATGATGCAGTTTCTGCAAAGTTCAAGAAATCTCCCATTACAAAATGACTTTTATAAATAACCACTTTGGAGGGTCTCTCTTTGAAAAATTACCCAAAGCCCTTTTCCCCAAGCAAGTTAATGTGAACTTGGGAAGGGCAATTAAATTGTCAGAATTAAAAAATTTGTTTTTAACTAGAAGGTAGCCAGAAGTAGAGTCATGGGGCTAGTATTGATCGCCCGAACGGAGCACATCACTCTTCAGGTATTTACTCTGCCACCTTTACACCAGAGGCTTTCCTTCAAATCACATCAATCCATAAAAAAGATGGCTCTTACGACTAAAATATATAACTAATCTCCAACAGCATTTCTATTCAGATGTCATCCTTTGATGATGATAATATACTTCATGAGGTTTTAAGATTCTACATTTTCAAAATGTCCTGTCTCCTTTGTTAAATCAATTATAAACAAAAGTGAGAAGTCATAAAACAATATAAAACTGACACTGCCTCAGTAATATCTATTTTAAATACTCAAATTTCACATTAAAGCATAGTATTTATCCATGCTAAATTCTGTAATTTCAACTGTTTTTTTATTGTACTGTTTATTTGGCATTCTTGACTCTTAATATGTTTATTTTCATTAGTTTCCTATTGTTATTTAGTATTAAAAACAAAGACTTTCATAACAAAATTAAAAGTGAATGTCAACCATAAAATTATTTAATAAAATATTTTAAAAGCTCTTTGCTTACATATTAGCATAAATTATGACATCAAACTACTATAGTACAATGTATGTACTAAGTTCCAAAACTAATATTTCTTTATTATTTAAAAAAAACTATATACAAAGTATAATTAGAGTTTGTACGTTTTTCAGAAAGTGTTATATTAACTATGACTCATCTTAATTGCAAGACTACTGAAGAATCTCCTACACATTTCATTAATTTTTTAAAATACACATTTCAGATTTAAATTTGTTTTTAATCTTTTCAGAGCCTTTTAAATATTAGCTATTATAAGATTAGTGTAAAAGGTTACCAAGCAGAATGAAATTGCATAAAACGCTTAACTGAAGTTCTCTCTCAATGTGAAAATGCATAATAAAATATAGGTAAGTAACTGATATTATATTAATCTTTCAATTACTATTTGGAGCATTAAGAGTGAAATCTGCTTCTATACAGGATATAAAAAAATCTTAAATAAATGACAGTAAACATTGCTAATAAATACCTTTTTTAAATCAGCCTCTTAGCATAAGAAATTTGACACAATATTATTTTAAAATGTAAAGTTGAACAATAAGATTAAAATTTATTCATTATAAGGAAGATTACATTCCTCAAAATGGTTAAAGGGTAAATAAACTTTTCTTATAAAAATAGATTTTAATAAGTGCTTTAATTAAACCTATACCACAAATTTTAAATTCAGTTACAGATATTTCTCTCAAGTAACAGCATTAACAGTTTGCCTCTATGTAATTTGAGAAAGCAAGTCCCTCTCTACAGACATAAAATGAAAAATTTTCATAACATTTTCATTCACTGACTTCAGAACTCACAGCTCAATGTGAAATGACAGTTAAGGAGACAGAAAAATACCCATTAAATTTTAAGGGCACATGGTAGCATCTGTTTGACTGCAAAGGATAAAAAAGGCTTTTTTTTTTTTTCAATGTAAGGGTCATGAACCAAAAACAAAACAGAAACAAAAACAAAAACAAAAACAGGAGAGAAAAATATATATATGACACTGGAATTTGGAACACCACATAAACGGTACATGATCCTTAAAAGCAAAGTGGCCTAATTAATTCTACACCTTATTTCTCCTCTCCACCTCCTGCAGTTGAAGATGTAGGGCTCTGAGACTATTATTGCTTTTAGATCACTTTGTTATTGACTATTCTCTGTATGATCATTTATTTTAAAGGACTGATGTCACATTTGGTGTTATATCTGATGACATATTGTGGACATTTTCTTCCAGAAATGGCTCTTTAAGGCTGAGTGCAAGAGGTTAAGCTGCCTGACTGAGGCCAAACCTAGGATCACATACTTTTAATCTAAATTCTTGATACCTTTACTGAATGTAATTTAACATATATTTTGTATACCAGATACTATCACTTAACCATAAGCTGCTGTATATTAAACTAATGCTATACAAAAGGGAAAATAAAATTATTTCTTATAAAAAAATAACCAATTTATACTTTATAAAGTCAAAGTAATTTTAACGTAATGAAGGACATTTTCCTCATTAATCAATATATCTTAATTGACTTTCAAAAATTATTAAAATATTAAATGAAATCATATGCCCAAAGAGAATAAACCCTCAAATCAAAAGGACTTTTCCAGTTTTTCCAATTTGCTCATCAGGCTTCTAACTAAACTGAATCATAGTGATACGCATTATATCAAAAAGAGGAAAAATATTTTGTTAAGCTCTGATAAGAAGATGATGCAGAACAGGAACGTTTGAAAATAATGTCTATTCTCTTTTTCCAGGAGCCATCTGTCATAACCATCTACAAATCAAGGCTCAGAAAGTATCTAGGCACCTGGACATTTATTACTATCTCTCCCACTTCATAATCTCGTGCTCAAATACCATGTTTGAGGGAAAATCATACACACACAACAGAGCCTAGAAACCTATTTGGTTTGTAAATGCTGTCTTTCTGATATTCATGGATTTAAGGCAGGCGTCCTGGATTAATTTACTCAGCTGAATGTGTCACTTAAAAGGAGAAATATTTTATCCTCCTACTCTGAAACAAAGGGTCTATGTTAAGTAAGTTTTGCATGTGTAACATAATAAATAAATACACTTGACACCATAATTTAATAGGACCCTACACTAACTATAAAAAATTTAACTTCTCCTTCTGGGGTGAGTAACTATGAAATGTGGTGTTGGACCACTTTACAGTGCCTTGTAATAATGAAGTTATGCTCTTCATTACCAAGTGCTCTACCTGCTGCTACTGGCAAGGACTGGTTTACACACTGACCATGTTCCACGGCTGTTTTTAGTGTCGCTTCAGGATGTGTCGATCCTAGAGGGTTACGCACAAATCGTCGCCGGCGCCGCAAGTCATCTTCCCAGTAGTCAAGGCGCCAGAACTCACGAGGACGACTACAATGAAACAGAGAAGCCACATATGTTAGCAATTATCAAACAGCGTGGTAGCACTGAATTTCTGCATAAAGCTCCCCTTGTTTGCTCTGCCTTTTTTTCCCTCCCCTTCCCCTTAATTCTCCCTCCACTTCACACTCCCCTTTCTGCAATCTTTAACTTAGGTATGTCCTTGAAAATAACAATATCACCTTCCAGTCTAAGGAACTCCTTTTCCTTTTTCTTGGAAGGTGAAATGAGCACTAAATACATCATTTTGAAATGAATTGCTGACAGTGTGATCAGTTTCCCCACACTCTAGTGGCATGTGCTCTGATTTCAGCCTCATTTCAGCCTCAGCAGGGCACCTTTCTCTGTGGCTGCATTTATAAACCAGAATAGGGAAAAGGCTATTATAAATATGGTATAGCATTACCTATATTAATCAAAGTCTGTCCCCCTTCATTTTTCTTCCTAATTTGTGCCTTTTTGTACAAGGTCAGTAAATCATACCATGAATTCTTGGTCCAGAAAGTGTTAACTTTAATGAATATCTCAGTTACATGGTTATGTATGTGATAATAAAATATTACTCTGTTTAGATGTGCAGGAATTTAATTAAAATAATCTCTTAAAATATTCATTACATTTAGCCCCTGAGGCTTAGAACAACACAAGAAAATGCATTTCTTTTCCATTTACTGTTTTTAAATAAACCATTCCTATAGAGTGAAATAGCAATCTATTTTCAAGCAAATCAGATTGGATTTCTGTTTTATGTAGTCTGTTTTTATATTTAATTAAAAACTACATGCTATATGATGTGCAATAATTGTTGTATCAAAAGCATACTTTTGGAAATCTATTTTTTAAAAAGGGTTCACTCAATTCAACGTCTCTATTTTCCCCAATTATGTAGACCCTTTATATGGCAATGTACAAATGTCCACTTTCTCTCCTGTAAACTAATCATGGTCTAACATGCTGGAAAACATTTTATAAAGAAAATGCTAATGTGAAGTGTTTTTTTTTTTCAGTTACAGGAAGAGAAAATATCTTTGCAGAATATATTTATTCATTAAAATACAGAACATTAAAAACCTATGGTTTGATAATGAAATCTTAAAAATTCATAATCAAAACTTCTGCAAGAAATGACTAATACAAAATAAAATCTCACTTGTATTTCATGAGCTAATAAAATTGTACCTGTCAGCTTTGACAAATTAGTAGTCTTGACCAATTGATAGTCTCAAAATACCCACATGTAAGTTACCCCTATTTTGATGTTTTAAAGATGCTACCTCTAAAAATTCAAATGACTTATAAATAACTACTTTATCAGTTAAAAATTATCCCAAATTAATAAAAGCATAGGCAACAAACAGTATATTATTTACAGAGAATATTTTTTAAAAACAATAGGAATTCATGCTCTTTTCTGAGAATGCTGGACAGACAGTGAGAACATCAAAGACTCCCTTTGTTGATTTTGATCATGCATAGAAATGAGATATAATCAAAATGGAATGCCAAAAAGTGTAAAATTTGCAGTCCTCAAAAAGAAAAATTAAAAAGCTCTTTTATTCTTTGTTATTTTGCTGACATCTTTTGAAAGAAAACTAATATTATATCATTTAAAAAGAAATAAGAAACATAAAGAATATACATACAAGCAAAAGATAGCAGTTGTTTGAACTCAATTAATACACTAAAATTCTCCTTAGGTGAGGGGAAAAGGCAAACAGATGGCTCTATGCTTGGCTTCGATAGTCATGGAGCCTGGATAGGCACTTCATCATTCTGCCTACCTACATTTATCTGTTAAAATTATTATCAAATATCAGCCAGGATGCAGTCGTGAATCACAGGCTGCTCCTCGTCTTCAGGGGAATGATACAATGAGGGTCTATTCATCAGTGCGGCAATCGGCACAAGTAATTAGTTCCCTAGACTGAGATCTCCTACAGAACCTATTTCAGTCAGCACCACAAACATATGACCATGTAAAGCTAATGAAAGCTGCTAAAATTTGTTAACCTTTTCTGCCATCAATCCTTCTAATATTCTAGGCTTCAGTATTATGCAAAGGTAGTAAATTATTAATTTGTCATTCATCCATTCTTCTGAATCTTAAGTCAAATTAAATGATGTCACTCTTCTTGATAACAATTAAAATTATAAGAGATGTTAAGCTATTATAAAATTATCACTAAATTAGGTAACAAAAGACTGTAGTATAATGCACAAGAGGGAAGTCAAATCCAATGACTACTGAAGCATGTATAGCAGTAGGTTGTGTCAAACAGTAGAAAAACCAGAGGAATTGTAAAACCACAAATTATCAAGTAACTCAAAGACAGTATCTGTCAGAATAATAACCAAAATTAGAAGGAAGAACTACACTATGTATTTTTGTGCTCTTCAACGCTAACAAAAAATGGCCGCAGTAGTGACATTCGGCTAAAACAAAAGCACCAGTCCAGCAGGACTGAGAATTTGTTTGCATAGTAAAAAAATTTTTAAGATAAGTTTCACTTATACTGACAATAATGCTTCTGTCTTCAAGTGTAAATATTCTACCGAAAGTAAAAAACTAGGGAGATACAATGCAAACAGAATGAAGACCTTTACACCTCCGCATGATAATCTTTATAATAAGCTGTGTCTCAGACTACGGTCTCCGTACGAGTAGACTACCTCCTGCACAACAATTTAAAGCAATCCAAAGACAAAGCAAACACCACGTATTTCTGAGCACAGACATAGAATGGATTACAAAAATCACCTAGAGAGCAATTTTTTTGAGAGTCTCTCCGTAAAAACCCATGGCTCCAGGTGATGTAGTTTGATACAAACCCTCAGGAAGTCGCTGATAATGGAGTACTTATTGGCCTCATCTGAAACAATAACATTTATCATCCATTTTCTGATGGTGAGAGTAATACATGTTCTTCGGAAAGAAGTCCTACTCATTTTTTCAGATGAGGGTAATTACTAGCATGTTTCAAGTCATTTACAAAGTAACAAACGTGGGCCTAAAAGTGTAATGTTTTGTCCCCTCGACCCTACTCCTTCCAACAACATATACTCAGTATATAAAGTTCTGTAGCCAAAAAAAGAGGCATGATTTGTCATTTCAGATAGAATCAAAAAGGGAAAGAAGTAGCTTTCAATTATCAACTTCCTGTAACTTTGATCATTCACATAAAGATTTCCCTCTCACTTGAGGAATATTGCCAGCCTCTCCCACAAAGCCCCAGCCAACTAGGGAAATTAGGATTAAAAATTGGCAAATTTGGTATACTGATCCAACATTATGAATTAAAATTATGTAATGTTATGAATTAACTAAATAAATTATTTTTTTGGAGTGATCATCATGGTATGGTTAAAAAGAAATAACTTAATACAAGCATGGGTGAGAAATCACTTATTTTGAGACCTTACAAATGTCTGTCTACATCACTACATACCACACCTACCCTCAAAATTACATTCATACTACATGATGCAACACTCACAAATGCCATTTTTATCCATTATTACTAAGAATTAAAACTAAGTTATCACAAAAAAAGTATGCAAGTTAAGGATGAGAGCCTAGGCTCTCTATATAAGGTTTGGAAACAAAGCCTTCTCTACCCAAGTTGCTGTAGTTTGGTCCCCTCTCATGACGCAGCCTCCAAGTACTAAAACCGTTGACTAATAGGAATACATGTGTCTTTGAAAGTTGAGAATGATACTGAAAAAAACAAATGTTCTAACTTTTCTTTCTAATAATTTCTCCCCACTTTTTGGCCTCATGTCAAAATGTCAGATTAAAATTACAATGTAAATCAAATTGTCTTTTTCTAATTATAAGTCATCTAATTATCTTCCTGCTTTAAAAAAAAACCTTTACATTTATTTGTATGTACATGCCTTTAACATATCACTATATATAAAAGAATACAAAACAATGCCATTTTGACATACTATACAAAATATGTCTTTTCTGTTTGACAAAAACAGAACTGAATACATTGTTGACATGAATCTTGGAAGGAACTCGGGCACAGATACACAGGATGTTTATTCCCTTTCCTAGGCCCATTGTCAGTAGTGAGTTGATCAGATAAAACAAATGAATAAGAATAAGCCAAATGATAATCAGTTGGAAAAGGGAGAAGTATTAAAACAAAGAAAAACTGAAGTATGATCCACATTCTTCATCTAATAGTTGAATGGTCCAACCATAAGTAATGTATTATTTTTCACATGTAAATAAGAAGACTTTTTAAAGTTCAGTTTTCCTTGAGGAAAGTATGGTAAGCCAATAGCCAATTAACAATGTATTGTATGAAAAAACAAACACTGAAATAGAATTCTAAAGTATTTTCTAATAACAATGACTGACTCTTCACCTTGAGCCAGATGCTGGGGATATAAGGGCTATTAAGATATTGTCCCTGATTAAGAAGTACAAATTGGAAGGTACAAAACAGTCATGGGGATGTAAAGTACAGCAAAGGGAATATAGTCAATAATATTGTAATAACTATGTATAATTTCAGGTTGGCACTAGATGTGGGGGAACATCTTTTAAGGTATATAAATATCTAACCACTATGCTATACACTTGAAACTAATATTGAATGTAAATATAAAATATAAAGCCTTCAAAAAAAGATATTGTCACTGACATGGAGAAGACAAATGTGAAAACAAAAATTCAAAAAAACATGTATGATAGAGCAGAACTCAAGTTGCTATTAAATTGCACAACTTCAAGGGATACAGTTCACACCAAAACTTGTGTAACTGGCACTACTGGAGTTGTACAATGCTCGGTTTTCAGTGTTATATGACCACGCTACGAGAACAACAAGGTACTATGGGAACACCCCATACGTTTCTCTCTCTGTACAAGGCTCATGCTCCTCTCTCTCCCAGAGTTAAATCTAATCTTGGAGATAGGAACCTGAACAAGGCCCCTCAGAGGCTATCAGTAGCAGTCACACAGTTAGTATATATTTCCC